CTATAATATATCTTATTCAGTTAAACAATTAAAGTGTTTTTCTAATTAAATAATGTTTTACATTTACTGCATTATTTGACAGGAACCGAAGAGTGTGAGTTCAATACCCATTTAAGGCAGTGGAGAACTTTCAGAGGAAAATTAACAGGAGATAACTGATAACTGACATCGATTATACATGGCACGTGGAACTAGAACAGTCTATCCCAGTGAGCGAAATAAAGTGTTCAGTACGACATTCCAACCACCTGAAGAAGGCCGCAGCATACAACGGCCGAAACGTTGTGATAAGTATGGCGACAAAGATGGGGACAATAGTCCGAATAATGTAAATAATATGCATTATTTTAGTTTACCATTCAGTACAGATTTTTAGTGACTATGGGCCTTTTTTTACAAATTTTTTGAAGGAAAAATAACTATTACCAGCAATATATTTTTGAAAAAAGAATATTATCAGCTATACGTTTTCGAAAAAATAATATTACCAGCTATATATTTTTGAGGCAAAAATATTGAGAGAAATAAATTTTTGACAAAACAAAAATATTACCAGGAAAAAATAGTTTTCGGCATTAAATGACCCATTGAGGTTGATATGCCGTAAAACAAAACAAACCAAACTAAACCACGTTCATTATTAGAATGTGAAGACATTCAATCACAGATATGATAAAATATAAACAGAATAAGTAGAAAGTAAAAACTAAATGGGAAAATATTTGAAGATGGAAAAATGGATCGTTCGAATAAACTCATCGAATCAAAATATATTATTCTATCTACCAACTCAATTACAAAAGAATTGAAAATAATTTATCCAAACTTTTCGTAATATTTGTTAAAACTAATTCTAATAAAAAATGACTTAATTAATTAAAGAAAAATAATAATCTATAACTTGAAGAAGAGATTTACTGTACCACCTGTAATAATTGCCATAAGGAATAGATAGTAGAAACCTCGAGAAATGGTTATATGAACATAATAGGGATGTTTTACAAAATAGCACACTGAATGCATTTATTGCTCAATGTATTGAGGTCGACCATAATTAGAATCTTAGCAAAATTGATGACAAAGTGTAAAGTATTAAGAAATAGAAAAGTGGACCGTTCTAACAAACTCAACGAATCAAAAAAGATTATTCTATCTACCATCTCAATTACAAAACAATTGAAGATAATTTATCCAAACCTTTCATAAGATTTATTAAAAGTACTTCTAATACAAAAAAATGAATTAATTAATTAAAAAAATTAATAATCTATAACTTGAAGGGGGATTTACTGTAATAATTGCCATGAGGAATAAATAGGAAAAACCTAGAGAAATTGGACGAAATGCGTCGGCTAAAACTACAGGTTTCCTATTGTCTTTTTTTCCTTTATATATATTGTCTTTTCCTGCAGGTTAATTCTGAGATATTTAATATATTTTATTTTAATTATTAGCCTCATTTATTAGCCGTATTTTTGTTGTTTTTTATGTCTTAGATAAAACTCCTCTTGTTACGTTTAAACATGGCAGGTGTATTTGTTAGTGTTTCAATGCATTCTCTTGGAGGGTAAACAAAAACTGAAATATCCAAAATTGCACCTGCTGTGATGAGACGTTCTAGCGGATAGTATCAACAATGGACGTTAATATAAGAACAAGGAAAGTAAAACTATGAAATGATAAATGACATTCGAAATACGGTACGATATTTTATTAAAAATTTCTAAAAATGTTCATCAAAACAGGACACGAAAATAAGCCCTGAAAATTTTCTATATTTCAAAAGAGTAAAAATCTTAAATAGATGTAGGGAGACAACAGTTTGTTTTCCCTTGGCTTGAACGAAATAGGAATTCAAATTTATATGGTCGGTACTTCACTATGCAAATTACGTGCATCCTACCACAACAGAATTGATGATTTCAACATTGATATGATTATATTTATATAGAATTGTCGCAACAAATATGTATTGTGATTTGTGATTCTTGCACAACTTGACTTCCATATTGCCTAATTTTGAGCTTGCAGGTGTGACCTCCGTCTTCTGGCTTTCTCCTTCTTTATTTTGTAAAGTAGTCTTTCCCCCGTGTTCAAATTTACATTTAATATAAATCAAAGGGAGAAAAATCAATGATGGTTTTGTGCCCCCATTCCCGAGGAACCCTTTTGATCAAAATGAAATATGCTTATCCAAGTTGCCTAGGAATAATTCCTTTGTTCAAATTTAAAAGTCATTTTGATTCACCTTGCTAAGTACTGCCAAAGAATATAAGGCTGGTATTTTTATCGCTTTGTTCGTTCTTTTCTTCAAGCATTCTCGTCATTTGAAACGTGTGAATAATCATTTGTTTTGGAGCATTTATAAATCTTTTTAATATATGTATGTAAATTGTATTGGCCTTATTAAATGTTTTGTTTATTATGGGCGTTTATCTCGTCTTACCTTATTCCCAATGGTAGTGTATCAATGGCTACACTAATGCTAATATTAGTACTTGGTGTACAGGAAAGCAGTATTCTTCCTAGCACTAAATAGCCGGTAAATTATGGCTAACTTATAAATAAAACTAATATAGAATTTATGTTTCTTAGAATAGATCCTTCCACGCGCTGACTCGGCTTTCATTAAGTATATGTTGTATTTACAGTTGCATGAACAATTTAATTAGATATTTTAAATAGAACTAGACTGACCGTAACAATTTGGGTCACTGACGGTCCAGGTTATGAACCATTTGAAGAAAGTTGAAATAAAAATACTTCCTGTATAAACAACTCGTTTTTAAAAATCTTATTCAGTTATTTTAAAATCAGATTAACTTAAAAATAGTTTTTGTAATATGTCAACTAATATTTTAAAATCATATACACTTGAAAATATTTTTTTTAAATATGCCCAAAAATATTTTTTAAATATTTAAAATATTGTTTGTTTAAAGAAAGCTAAAATATAATTAATTACTATACAAATGGACAAAACGGCTAAGCGGTATTTCTTTGTGCCTGTCTTTAACTTTCAAATATTTTAATTAAGAGATTTGTCTGTTTGAAGAAAGTTTAAATAAAATACTCTATAAACAACGCGTATTTTTTCAATCTTATTCAGTCATTTTAAAATCAGATTAAGTTAAAAATAGTTTTTGTAATATATCAAATAATATTTTCAAATCATATTCACTTGAAAATATTTTTTAAATATATAAAAAATATTTTTTTTAATATAATTAAAATATTGTCTGTTTAAAGAAAACTGAAATAAATTAAGTGCACTGCAGACAACTGGAGGAAACAGCAAAGCGGGATCTCATTGAGTCTGTCTTAAATTTAAAAAATATTGTAAGTAAAACAACTGTCTGCTTGAAGAACGTTAAAATAAAAATACTTTCTGTATAAACAACTCGTATTTTTAAATTTATTTAATGAAACTATTTTTTAAATCAAGCGCGCACGAATCAAAGACTTTTAGTATTAGATAGATAGATAGATAGATAGATAGATAGATAGATAGATAGATAGATAGATAGATAGATAGATATGAAGAGCCTGATAGATAGATAGATAGATAGATAGATAGATAGATAGATAGATAGATAGATAGATAATGCTGATTGGCTGGGACTGAACCAAACATAGATAGATAGATAGGTAGATAGATAGATAGATAGATAGATATGTCGACTGGCTGGGACTGAAACGAACATAGATAGATAGATAGATAGATAGATAGATAGATAGATAGATAGATAGATAGATGAAGAGCCTGATAGATGGATAGATAGATAGATGGATAGATGGATAGATAGATGAATGTGAAAGAGCCTGAGATAGATAGATAGATAGATGGATAGATAGATGGATAGATGGATGTAAGGAAGAGCCTGAGATAGATAGATAGATGGATGGATGGATGGATGGATGTGAAGAGCCTGGGATAGATGGATAGATAGATGGATGTGAAGGCCTGATAGATAGATGGATGGATAGATGGATGGATGGATAGATGGATGATGTGAAGGGCCTGTGATAGATAGATGGATATGAAGGGCCTGAGATAGATAGATAGATGGATGGATGGATAGATAGATAGATGGATATGAAAGGGCCTGAGATAGATGGATGGATGGATGGATAGATAGATAGATAGATGGATGGATGGATGGATGAATATGAACAGCCTGGGATAGATAGATAGATAGATAGATAGATAGATAGATGAATATGAACAGATTATTGCATAAAAACGGATAAATTTCATTAATATCATAGATAGGATTGCAAATGATAAAGTAAATTAATTTCAGGACAAAAACTTTATTTCCACTGATGAAGACCAAATGCGCATGCCCCTTTTCCACATAGACCCCCCCCCACCTCCACTAAGCAGAGATACGCTTTGGGTATCGTTCAACGAGCATCTTCATCCGTTCCTAAAAATGAGTAGAAGGTATTCCCAAGCGGTCTCCCATTTAGTTAATACCATGGTTACTATATATATATATATATATATGTATATATATATATAGATCGATAGATAGATATTAATTGACTGAAAATTGCAAATGGATATGAACAAATTCAAATAGCTGAATAGCTAGCTAGCTGGATACATAATACATACATAAGTAAATAATAACTGGCCACTCGTATTCGAGGATACCCGTCTACTTGGGCAGCTAGCCAATCCCTATTGAAGAATCTCGCTCAGGCACATTTTTGTTTGTTCAATACCCACAGAGCCAACCTGTGGTTTATACTGCAACTATGCTGAGCAGAGATCAGTTACAATTTCATAGAAAGATCGTGTTATCTAGCGTGATAAACAAATTGAACAAGACCAACAGGCTCAAAACCTCGGCCATAATGACTTATGACTTCGTGCTAGCACAGCTAACGACGGTAACCAAGAGTTCTGTCTACTCAATTTCACTCAAAAGGCTTGGGTCAACGCGTGGTATGGTTTCTAGGAACTTTCCAAAGATGCTTTGGGAAATCATTATTTAAGGTTTGTTTATATGAGATAGATAGATAGATAGATAGATAGATAGATAGATAGATAGATAGATATGGCAATAAGGAGATAGATAGATATGAAAAGAATGAGATAGATAGATAGATAGATAGATAGATATGACAATAATGAGATAGATAGATAGATAGATAGATAGATAGATAGATAGATAGATAGATATGAAAAGAATGAGATAGATATGAAAAGAATGAGATAGATAGATAGATAGATAGATATGAAAAGAATGAGATAGATATGAAAAAAAAGATAGATATGAAAAAAAGATAGATATGAAAAGGCTTAGATAGATAGATATGAAAAGAATGAGATAGATAGATAGATAGATAGATAGATAGATAGATAGATAGATAGATAGATATGAAAAGAATGAGATAGGTATGAAAAAAACTAAGATAGATATGAAAAGGCTTAGATAGAAAGATAGATAGATATGAAAAGAATGAGATAGATATGAAAAAAACTAAGATAGATATGAAAAGGCTTAGATAGATAGATAGATAGATAGATAGATAGATAGATAGATATGAAAAGAATAAGATAGATAGATATGAAAAAAACTAATATATGAAAAGGATTAGATAGATAGATAGATAGATAGATAGATAGATAGATAGATAGATAGATTTTCTGACTGCCTGGGATACGGATCAAGCTTGGAGTGACGTTGCTTAACTTCAGTAATCGCACGGAAATCGCTGTTATTTGTTTTCATTTTCTCTAAACCATCATTACTGTTCATATGTTCTGTCCATGGTATTCTCTATATAATCCTATAAGAACTATATTTCCTTTGCATCAAGTCTCTTCTTCCTCTGTGAGAAGGTTGGCCAGTATCATCCACCTGCTTAAGGAACGTGTCAGTTTTGTCAGAAACAATGAAAACAATGGCGGAATGTTTCACTGGCTGAACAAATAACAACACTTCGTCAGCAAAATATTTGGACACAAAGATTTGCATATTTGTGTATAAGATTTGTTTGAAAAAAAAAAAAAAAAAGAAATAAATAAGAAAACAAAACTGTAAACGGATTGATAGAGAGAGACGCTTTTCCCGTGAAATGTATCCTCTGGGAGAGATTGTCTGAGAAGCGTCCGCCACTGCCCTGCCTAACAACCCGTGCCAACAAATAGCTGTCAGTTAAGTCATCGAAAGCTGTTAAACGGCTGACAGGGAATTTTTCAAACTTTCCATGCAGCGTTCGGCTTTCATTGTTAGGACAATTAATTCTTGCCGCGAAATACTGAATCCAAACAAGTGCTGATACTCCATAAATTATAATGTCATGAGGAAACGTCAAGACATGTGATCAAACCGAATATAAGACGAAAAATCACACAATACCAGCCTTTGAGGTTATTATAAAATTATATTTTGTCATTAAATCTCAAATATATATATATATATATATATATATCTGAGCAAAATAGTCTGCATCTCTTCAGAAAATTGGGAAAATGTAACAAAAAATTGCATACCTAGACCTTGTCGGGTCTTTCTATTAAAATTTATTTATTCATATATATATATATATATATATATATATATATATATATATATATATATATATATACAAAGATAGATAGATAGATAGATAATATTAATCGTCAATATATATATATATA